TTTAACCCCCTAACCCTAACCCCAACCCCCGACCCTAAACCCTAACCCCTTAACCTTTAACCCCCTAACCCCCAACCCCTACCCCTTAACCCGACCCCTAAACCCTAAACCCCTGACCCTCACCCCAACCCTAAACCCTCACCCCCACCCTAAACCCCTGATGCCCTAACCCCAACCTAACCCTAACCCCAAAACCCTCACCCTCCTCCCTAAACCCTAACCCCCACCTCTCCCCTAACCTAAACCCTAACCCCTAAACCCCCAACCCCTTAACCCTACCCCCTAGACCCTAACCCCCTCACCCTAACCCCTAAACCCCCAACCCCTTAACCCTAGACCCCAAACCCCTTAATCCTAACCCCTAAACCCCCAACCCCCTTAGCCCTTAACCCCAACCCTAACCCCTTAACCCTAAACCCTCACCCTCTCACCCTGACCCCTAACCCTAACACCTAACCCTTAACCCCTCACCCTGACCCTAACCCCACCCTGACCCTCACCCTGACCCTCAACCCTAACACCCTAACCCCTACCCCTAGAGAAAACCCCACTCGTTATGCCCTTCCAGCATGACTGTGAACCACTGATAACTCTCTGGGAACGGTTTGTTTCCCTAGTTTGTTCATGAGAAGGTCACGTGAGATGATATCAAAAGCTTTACTAAAGTCAAGATATCCCACATCTACCGCTTGCCCCCATCCACAAGGCTTGTTAGCTTGTCAGGGTGGTTTGACACGATTTGCTCTTGACAAATCCATGCTGACTGTTATTTATCACCTTATTATCTTCTAGATGTTTGCTTAATTATTTGATCCATTACCTTTCCAAGTACAGAAGTTAAGCTGACTGGTCTGTAATTCCCCCAGTTGTCCTTACCTCCCTTTTTATAGATTGGTACTTTATTTGTCCTTTTCCAGTTGTCTGGAATCTCTCCCGTCTTCCATGACTTTTCAAAGATAATCGTTAATGGCTCAGATATCTCCTCAGTCAGCTCCTTGAGTATTCTAGGATGCATTTCATCAGGCCCTGGTGACTTGAAGACATCTAACTTGTCTAAGTCATTTTTAACTTGTTCTTTTCCTATTTTTGCCTCTGATCCTACCTCATTTTCACTGACATTCACTATGTTAGACGTCCAATTGCCACCAACCTTCTTGGTGAAAACCAAAACAAAGAAGTCATTAAGCACCTCTGCCATTTCCGCATTTTCTGTTATTCAATGGGGGGGGGGGGAGGAATAACGGGCCTACCCTATCTTGAGCTAAGCTTCAGTGCAAACCATTTTAATTACTCCCTCAAAGGGTTAGAGAGTGCCATACACTAGCTGAGGTACATGTTGAGTAAATAAGTTCATTAGATCCCTATCTCTGTGCATAAATTTGGTAGAATCTGTCAACCTTAAGAAAAGCTGGGTTTTTCTTTTTAAGGGGTGGTTGTGGCTGCGTCTGCAAAATGACCTAAAATTTGGATCGTTCACCTTGGCCTGCACTCCCAGGAGGCACACCAGGTTTCAAGGCAATCTTTATTAATCATAACCAGTAAGGAATTAAAAAGGTAGATTTTTGTCTAAGTATTAATATTACAAATCTGATTTAATCATCTGAGAAGAGAAGATATGTTACAGAAGTGTTTCAATCAGAAGTCTGATGGAGGCAGTTGGCTCAGGGTCTTTCTTAGAACTAAATCAAATGCAGTTTCTCTCTCAAACATTGGTTAAAAAGGCTCCAAGTTAGTCCTCCCCCCTTCCAATTTTAACTTTTATAAAATCTCAGTGGCTGGAGGGAAATTAGAATGAAAATTTAATCATAAGCAAACAGATGCTCTTGATCCTCACTAAGGAGACCTGGGGATGGATGGGCAGCCCTGGACCTAAAGTTACATATATCACCTTGTCCTTTAACTGGGATTCATCAGAAAAAAGTGTTTCACCTGCTTCTGAGTGCAGCAGCAGGGGATTACACAAGCACTGCTCCTGGGAACACAGAACAGCAGCAGATGCTTAGAAACCTTTAATAGATCTTCAATGTTAACCAACCAGAACCTAGCTATTTTCTCTAATGGTACAAACAATGATTACATAGCACAGGGCCAGTGTATACATCCCAAGAGGCATTCAGGAATCTAGGAGCCTAGTCTTTAAAGCAAACTCAGCACTGAGCTTACGCATGACTTCTGCATGGCTCAGCCCACACTGTTCTTTTTTAGTAGATCCATAGTTTTCTTTCACATACTTTGCAAATGGTGTTAGCTGTGCTCTAGCTGCAGTACCATCCTTCCGTGTGGGTTGGCACAGGACTAACTGTCCCTTACAGAGTGCACACACAAAGCGTTCTGTGTCCAGTGACTTGGAATGGCGCCCAATCCTAAAATAAAACAAAAAAGTCAGTGTAGTGCCTGAGTCTGGAGACACCTTGGAACAATAGCTCAGAGGTGCAAATTGTTCACATTCAGATCAAGTGTACATTAACTCTGACACCTAAATATAACCTAAATGGCAACATTACTATTCCCCTGCTGACCATTTTAGCAGGAATATTCAACTAGTGATTTTTATCATGCAGTCTCAGATCACTGTCCACATTTTCCTGCCAAAAAACCTTAAACATCCCTTATCCAGCTGCCAAGGTGGAACCTTCAGTTTCTTCCTGATAATGTCTACAATGTTATGTGATGGTAATACAAAGCTTAACAGAACATTAAAAGAATATATGAACAGAGTAAAGCAAGTTCAGTTGAATACCAAAACAAACAACAAGGAATTCAGTGATATTCATGTTAATTTTTAGTTCAATTAAAAAAAACCTAATTTTTAAGTTTACATGAAGCTGTGCAGAACTTCAGTCTGCCACACTGAAGTGCTGCAGAAGCTGAGGTCCCTGCTGTTGAATTTGTTCCCCACCATACATATTCTAGATCTCAGATCAATCTTCTTTAAACATCCCAGTGGTCCCACCAGCTCTGTATCACTTACAGTGGGATAAACAGAAGTTTTGACAATCCCAATGAGCAGATTAATTTTTCTGCTTGTGTTTCAAATAAGTTTCTTGGTAAAAGGTGAGATCATAGTGTATCAGAGCTCCTGCATTACACTCCTAATAGAGAAGTAAGGAGAGATCCAAGTAGTCTCATAACATGAACTTGATTTTAATGTTTATCTTGTTTCCTTAATACTGTCCTACTATTACCGTCTCTATGTAGCAAGCATAATAGTTGCTGAGGGGAAGATGAGGAATCAAGATTGGAAAGTTAGGTGTGTCCCTCAGAGGATCAAAGGGGTCAGAAATATTGAAAAGTCTGAGTACCCCAGAAGAAAACCCTCTATGCCAAAGGACAGCAGTATGTGGAACACCAACCACTAAGGGTTGTGGCTACCAGACTCTGTGTGCCTGTAGGTTGGCGACTGAGCAAACTGAGTTTAACAATTATGAAATGGCTTGATTTTAAGGGTTTTTAGGGGACAGCTGTAGTGTGCAGTGCATGAGAGTGCCAGCATCGAGGGAGTGGGGGTGGGGACCCTTGCCTGGAACAAGTCTTGTCATTTGCTCACTCTGTTCTGGGCTTGATGCAGAAATCAATAGGTGACATTCTCTGGCTCGTGTTTTGCAGGAGGTAAGACTAGATGACTGACATGTCCCTTTCTGGCCTTGAAAGTTATCTCAAATTCTCACTGATTTCCATACTGCTAACTCAAAAACAACCTGCCTCCCAACTATCTGTTCTCAATTAAGCCATTAAAAAGAGTGCCAGCAGGGGGAGGCAGGTCTGTCATAAGTATAATTCCATATGGTACTCCTGGGAGGATTCTACGCCTATATGGGGGCACAGAATTCATATGGCCCGCATTTTTCTGTGCCCCCTGTACAGAAAAACGCAAAAAAAATCTGCTGGGGGACACGCGCCTCTTCCCCAGCAGCCCAGGCAGTGCGTCTGTTCCAGCATGCCTGGAGCAGCCTCAGAGACAGGGGAGGGGGGATGGGCGTGCGTGCCTGCATGATTACTGTGGGGGGGGGGGGGGAAGAGGTGTATGTGTGCCAACAAGCGAGAGAGAGAGAGAGACAGACAGACAGACAGACACACACACACACTCACTCACACTCTGGGCTAGTCTACACTGGCAATGTTAAAGCGCTAACGTGGCTTGTGTGGGCGCTAAAAAACCCACCTCCACGAGGGGTGTAGTTACCAGCGCTGGTGCACTGTCTACACTGGCCCTCTACAGCGCTGAAACTTGCTGTGCTCAGGGGTGTGTTTTGTCACATCCCTGAGCAAGAAAGTTGCAGCGCTGTAAATTGCCAGTGTAGACAAGCCCTGTGTCCCTCTCTCTTACGACTGCAGCTCCCTGGCAGTAGGGCTTTTTATTATGCAGGAGGCAGACTAGAGGCACAAATGAAGCAGCCTGCCTGAGTTAATTGATCTCATTCTCTGAGGCACAAATGTAGCACCCTGACTGTGTAGTAAAGTTGTTAAAGTTGCTGTTGATGGTTAATTTATCTCATGTTAGTTAACTGTTCGCATTCTCAGTCAATTCCCCCCTGAGCATTAAAACCTGTGAAAGCTTTCAGGCCCCTACATTGCCAGAGTGATGTAAAGGAGTCTTATTATAAATGACAGTTAGGGAATCCTCAGCTAGGAAGATCTATGTGCTTTTTCACTTTTTACCAAGCAGTCAATAAAATGTCAGGACAATCAGAACCAAGCACTTCCCAAAGTACTCAGCCAGGTGCAGGGCAATGATTAGCAAAACTGTATGACTTTCATGTGTGAAAGTCTGAGCAATTTAAAATGACATTCTACTTTCCCCCCCGCTGTTTGGTGTTCTGTAATGTGATTTAAATGAAAATTCAAGATTATAACTGGAATGCAGGATATTGTTACCAAGTGTTTGTAACTTCACTTAAATGTGTTTAGGAAATGCTGAATAGTTATTGTGACTTTTTTCTGTATTGTAGTTTAAATAAATTACCAAAACAATTGAAACTGGTGTGATTATATTGCATTATTTTGACAAATAAAATATATAGAATTTTGCAGAATTTTGAATTCTTTGGTGCAGAATCCCCCCAGGAGTAATATGGGTCTGCAAGGGAAACTGTCTGGAAGCCAGTATCAAGAGGATCAGTTTGGGATTCTTTGTGGGAATAGAAGAGGGAAAACGAGGCAATAAAAAATAGTTCAGTTCATAGAGGTGAGACCTTTAATTCTCAAATTTCTTTAAGAGTTAAAGGTCTAAGCTTAATGTGTGGACACGCTGAAAACAAAGTTAACAGATGACCAAAGGCAAGTAAATATTACTCACGTGTTTTTGCACAGAGAACATTTATAAGTGAACTTGTATTTAATCTCATAACTGTGGCATTGTGTCACCACTGGCAGCTCTGGATGAACCACAGTTGATTTCTTAGCATAGAATCTCCAAAACTGCCCGTGGCCATCACGAATTCCGTTGATTACCCAAGTGGCTGCATGGCAAATCTCATGGATCAATGTGTCTCGAAGCCGGTCTTGGGGAAGTCAGGAGAGAAGACAAATTAAGAACACTGCCATTAAAAAGTCAGGTCTCTCATTCTTCACTGGCTTTATTAGTGTTTGCAAGTACTAGACTGACAGCCCTGAAGACTGTAAAAGATGCCACATGGACAGTACTATTCCAAGCTTCCCCACACAATGCCACTATTCTGGCCCAAGTCTGAGAAGGTAATTTGGTTTCCATGTCTTTAGTATCTCTGAGGAGACTAACTGTAATGAGTCACTTGTGTTGTGGTTTCTGTTTTTAAAACCACATTAAACACAGGAGCCAGCAAGTAAATGTCAGATGACAAATTTTGATTGCTACTGACTGTGACACAGTGGTCCATTGGTGTTTCACTACTCTGTCAGCAACTCTTGTCAGGCCTGACATACTACATCTAACCCACTGTTGTCATGATATATACCCAAAAGGTGGCATGTAATATATCAATCGAAAGCTAATAGCTCACTGATCATTAAAATTCTTACATGGTGTGTTACTCTTCGGGGAATTCTGCACCACTGCACAATGCAGAATTTTGCAGAATTCCCTGTTTCCCCCGCAGAATTGGGGCTGCAGAAGTAGTGGCCACCACTAGGGGACACTGGATTCTGCAGAGCCCAGCTTGCAGTGAGCGGAGCTGGAGGGTGCGTGGGCTGGAGGCTGCATGCTCTGCTTGATCCTTATTCTCCCGGGGACAGGAGAGGGCCTGGGAGACCCAGTTCTGGCAAAGGGTGAGGAAGGGCAGGACTGCACTGCCCCACCTGTGTTCCCTGGCAGGACAGTAAAGAAGCTGCGGGGATTAAAGGCTCTGGGGGAACTGGTGTCTAGGCCGGGGGGTGCCCTGTGGCTGGGATCTGGGGGGAGGGGGTGGTGGTGTCTGAGCTTTGAGTATGCTCCATGCCTGGGATCTGGGGTGAGGGGGGTGCTGGTGTGTGGGCCAGGGGTGCCCTGTGGCTGGGATCGTGGGGGGGAGGGGGTGCTGGTGCGTGGGCTGGGAGGTGCCCCGTGACTGGGCTCTAGGAGAAGGGGAGTGCTCATATCTGGGCTGGGGGTGCTCTGTGGCTGGGATGGGGGGGGGGAGGGGGAGGGAGTGCAGGTGTCTGGGCTCTGGGAGCCCTACACATTTCCCTCCAGCAGCCCCCAACTGGAACTGGTTTATCATAGGGGCTTCTTTAACGCTCTACTCTTGGGGGGTATCTTTTTTGCTGTTGTCTGTATTGTTGATATGTATTTAGAAATAAGTTACCAAAATAATTGAATCTGGAGTGATTATATTGTGTTATTTTGACAAATAAAATATACAGAATTCTAAAATGTTATGCGCAGAATTTTTAGGCACAGGATTCCCCCAGGAGTAATGTGTATATGGGGTGTATAAAGAGTTATGGATATATGTTAGAATTATGGTTTTAAAATGTGCTGGCAAGCAATGCATAATCCCATCTTCCCTAAACAAATGAGTGTATAGTAGTTTGTCATCAGGTTGAGATAATGAAAGTGCATTTAGATAAAAGATCAACAAAGCCATCAACTTAGCGAGTGGGGGAGACAGCCTCTTATGGGGGTCTGCCCCTCAAATGATAAGCAATTGAATCAACTGATTGTATATAATATTGCTGTATTATAAAAAGTGCATTGAGTAATGTCTTTTATGAAAGCCTGTGACATAATGACGACTAATAGCATTGTGAAGTGTCTGCATTAGCACTATATGAGGAATTGTGGATACTTACTGATGATATATTTTAAAGGCTGTGACCAAAACACAGGGAGAAACAGTTTTTCCCCCAGAAAGGAGGGAAGGGAGTATCTACACATCTCCAATTAAATTAAGCAAGATGTGACCAAAAACAATGGAAACCCTATTTACATATGAATCAGCAAGGGGATGGGAGATCCACAGACAGGAAAAAACATCATGAGATTATCCTGAGTCTGGGGACAAAACAGTGAGTTTGGGAAGATATACGGAGAGAAGAAGCAGCCATCTTGGCATCCATCACTGGACAGATAAAGTATAAATTACTCCTGAGGACATTCTGCACCAAAAAATTAAAATTTCTGTGCCAAAAAATTAAAACTTCTTCATACAATATTTTAAAATTCTGCAAATTTTATTTGTTAAATAAATGTGGAGGCTCCAGCATGGCATTGGGGAGCAATGGTCACTGGCTGCACAGAGATGGGAGATCACAGCTCCCCCCCGGGACACAGACTCAGTGGTGAGGCTGCACCCAACCCTGACACAGCGCAAGGATCGGGTCTGCCCCAGAAACATCCCAGGGCCTTGCCCCTCTGAACCAGGTGCACCAGGTATGGGCAGGTAGGATCCAAGTGTGGAGGGGTTTAGGGTGGGGGGGATCCAGGTGTGGATTGAAAGGGTTGTGTGTGTGGCAATCTGGGTGAGCGGCTCAGTGGGGGATCCAGGAGCTGGGGGGGGAGGGGGGGGGGTGTGCCTGGATGCACAGGGGCTTGTTGGGGGATTCTGGGTACAACAGTAATGGGACTCTGCGGGGGGGGGTATAGGTGAAGGTGGTTGGGGCTCAGCGGGGGCATCTGGGTGTGGGGGACTCAATGGGGGATCCGGGTGTGGGGGAATGGGGTTCAGTGGGGTGGGGATCCAGGTGCAGCTGGTTGGGGTGGCTCATCGGGGTGGTCCAGGTGCGGGGGGAATGGGGCTCATTGAGGGGTTCTGTGTGTGAGGCTCGGCGGGAGTTTCCAGAACGAGATGATGAGAGCTTGGATAAAAGTTTTAGCTGTGTGGATGGATAGGAAAGGTTGCATCTTAGAGCTGTTATACAGAAATAAATAAATATTCTTTCCCCTTATTTAATATTCAATATCCTCTTTCCCTTACCTGCAGAGTCACAAACTTTCTCTGAGAGCTCTATCCGAGCATAACGTTGTACCTCAGGACTTTTTGTTTGTCCAGTGACGCAGTACCCTGCTGTCTTCCGCATCTTTTTGTTCCAGACTATTTCCATTTTCTCTGGCAACTGATAAAAAAAAAAATGGAACAGTGCATTTGAACCATGTAGTGGCATGTGCAGGAATGTAAGTTTGACCCCTTTTGGAGGCTCCCTCACCCCCGGAGGCCCCTGATGATTACTGGGGGGGCCTGTGCCCCTGCTTGCCCCTCCATCCACACCCCCTGGAACCACATCACCACCAGCTCATCTCACTTCCTCAGGTCCTTAAACTTCTGCCCTTGTGTGTGTATACCGCCACAGCCCTTCACAACACACCTTGGTGGGAAAGGACACCTTTGTTCATACTCTTTAGACAGAGACAGTGGGAAGTTAGATCTGAGAAACTCACTTTGCCTTCTCTACCTCTCCTTAGAGGCTGAAGAACTTCACTATCTTTAGAGTATGAAACAGCCACACAATAGTAATATTCTTTAAAAAGTTTTATTAAATGCAGAGAAAATGGTAGTAAACCAAGAAAGAACTGTTTGTATTATACCACTTAAGTAAGAGTACAGAGAAAAGAAGGAAAATCTCACATTTCTAGAAATCAAGTCCTTATATGACCTCCCTGCCCTGGTCAGCTGGACAATCTCTTCCTCGGGTATTCAGAGAGAGAGATGTCTCCATCCCCTCTTTCACACAACCTGCTTATCAAGATCCCTGATCTAAAGTTTTATCCCCTATTTTCCAAAACAATTCTCTGAACACACAATGGGGGTTGAAACCTTCCCCAGGGGATTGTCTAAGGAGGTATTAAACGTCCTTCACTGATGCTTAATAGCTGTCTTTCAAATATTTAGCTACCAAATTAAAGCGGAGCCCTTTATAAGATCATTTGACCTACCTGTCCCCAGTTTATCCAGACCTCTTTTTAAAATCTCATCAATTTTCCCTTGCCAGGATGTATAATTTCTTCTAATCCTATCAAACTACTTAATCTCTGATCTCTTGTTGCTCCAAAACAGCAGCAGAAAGGAACCATCTCTTTCAGGATTCTAGTACTGCTGGTATGCTTAGTGCAGGTCTTCACTGCACAATTAACCTGAACTCTTACCTGGTTTTTAGTCCAAACTCCTCTACCATCCACACAAGAAAAACTTTTGATCTGAATTTGGAGGTGCTTTAAATGCAAGATAGTTTATACAGGTAGGGGTATAGATTAAAACCTAGGCTTCCCTTTCACTTGCCCTGGACCCCGTCCATTCTGCAGATAGGATGCAGGCAAACATCACTCAAGTTCTGATAATCCTCCAATATCCTTCCCACAGTTCCCCATGAAGGACAGACAAGTTCTTGTAATTGACTGGGAAAGTCTCCTAGAGCATCTCAGTACAGAGAACCATACACATGAGTGAGTGCAGAAACAGTGAGGACTCAGTAAGGTGAGTCTGGCTTTGCTGTCAAAATGCTGGCGTAGGCTAACCCAAGTGCCAATCATCTGGGTAACCTGTGCAGTTAGAGAGCCTACAGCAGCAATTCCCAAACTATGATCCAGGCAAGCACTTCTGGTCTGCAGAGAGCTGGCTGATCAAGTGGTGCTGGGCTCTTTGGTTCCAGCTTCTTTTACAGGAGTAGGAGCCAGCTTAATATGCCTCAATTAGGGTCCACTGCTACATGAGAGTAAGAGAAGCATTCCAATGCAATGGGGGCTATACAACTATCTAGACATATAAGAATCATAAGGGACCAGATTCACCCAAGGCATCTAAAAATCAATTTTCCATATAAGCAACAGATATAGTTACTTAGGGATGTTACATGATTATGAATGGGAAGGGAGTTTGTGTCCTTGCAGTAATGAATGGATCAGGAGGTTTTTCTCCACAAGACTATTAAGAGATAATTCACACTGAGAAAGTCTGATAACTCCCAGAGTAAACCTATGATAAATCCCTTTTTAAAACCCTCACATTTTTGACCTGATTCAAATAGAAGCACCTTGTTACAAGGCTGAGCTTCATCCCAGTTAGTGAGCTAGAAGGAAAGGGCAATGGTTTCACAGAGAAAGCTAGTTAGCAGGATAACAGTGATTTTATTGTCCAGAAATGTGTTTACAAAAGTTACCTTTTGCTCAAAGATGGTGTTGTTATAAAGAGTGTAAAGCTTCTGTGTCAACTCATCCTTTTTTTTCCTGAAATTTTTCACATATTGGGATGCTGGGTTTGACAACTCTTGTAAGAAACAGCCTGGCACTCCACACAGATTCCACCTGCATGAAAAGCAGCGGCAAAAAAAGCACATTTGTTGTCGCAGAAGTCTTATGAAAAAGAATGGTTACTTATCTTATAGTAACTATGGTTCTTTGAGAAGTTTCTGTAAATCCCATTCTAGGTGTGCACGTTCCCCAGGCATGTGAGATTAGAATCTTTTGAACAGCAGTCAGCCATGCCTGCACCATGTATGTCCTTATACCCCACACCTAAGGGCATAAAGGACAGAGCAGCTGCAACCATTCCTCAGTTCCCTTGCTAATTCAGAATCCCAGATAATAAGGACTCTGAAAAAGTGGGGATGAAGGGCTGGTTGTGGGATCCACACGGATGATAATATCTCAGAAGAAAAAATACTATAAGTTAAGTAATTGATTTGAAGTTGTGTCCTTCACAGCGAAGGAGAGTATCCTAGCCACTGGGCTATGGGGTAGTGTGGGCTGGGTCTCAATCTCTCCTGTTGAAATTGTTGCGCTTTTTATAAATAAATAGTCCTTGGAGCAGGGACTTGAATTAGGGTCTCCTGCATTCTAGCTACAAGGAATGCGACCTTCCACAACAAGTGAGAAAGGGAACAAGAAGCTAGAGGCTCAAAGGGCGGGCCCATGAGCCTGGTGACAAGGTGGAGGACCGGGTCCCAGACCGGTGGGAAGAGTCTTTCAAGGCCTTTCAGGAATCGGATAGTCATCTCATGAGAGAATACCGATCTATCCTGGATGCGGGGATGGAAGGCCAATATGTCCGCCAGGTGAACCTTAATCGAAGATAAGGCAAGGCCCTGGTGCTTTAAGTGAAGCAGGTAATCCAGAACGGACTGCAGAGATGACTGGGTCGGGGAGATATTCCGTTCTGACACCCAGCAGGAGAATCGCTTCCACTTTGCCAGGTAAGTTGCTATGGTGGAGGGCTTTTTGCTCTCCAAGGGCATGTGCTGTACCTGACTAGAGCAGGCTTGTTCCTCTGGATTCAGCCACGCATCATCCAAGCTGTGAGGTGGAGACACGGTTCGGGTGCAGCAACCGATAGTGATCCTGTGAGAGTAGGTCCGGCCACGAGGCAACCCCCTCTGGAGCAGAACTCTTTGCACTTTTTCTTCATATTCGACACACATAGCATTGTGGTTTGGAGACCCTCGCACCCAAAACACGTCCTGTAGATTTTGGTTGTGCAGCTGCCACACATGTTATGTGGAGAGCTGTCTGCTCAAGGAGTATGCCATACTGTTTTGCACTCCTGGCAGATGCACAGTGGTCAGACAGTCCCACTCCAGAGCACGAGGGCTCTCCTGGCTTGGTATGAGATGGGGACATTTGCCTCTTCGAGGGCTTGGATACAGAGCTCCCTCTTTCCCTTATTGGAGTGCTTGTCTCTCCCTTCCCTCCCCATTTGCCTTGGCTCTGCTCAAGTTTCTTGGAGCCAGCTGGGAGAGGGTGTAGAGGCCTGGAACTGGCTGGAGCTAAGCTCAACGGGCTGCTCCTACCTTTTTCAGGCCAATGTACTGGGTTGGGGGGAGAGGGTGTCTCTCCTGTCAGCTGTCCATGGTCTCATGGGCCTCTCCATGAGGAGTTTTCAGACTTGGAACTTTCTTGACTGCTTTGTCCTGCTGCGCCTGGTCTGGATGTGGGTTTCCCCAGGCGGTACAGACAGACATCATAGTAGACTGTGACCAGGAAGAGCTTGTGGCAGTTGATGCAGTTTTTGAAGTGGAGGATCCTTAGAACCCTTTCCCTGCTGCCACTGGAAGAAGCAAAATGCCTTTTTTTAAACAGGAATAGCTCCTCCGAATTTTAGTGAACTGAACCCCAAATACCTCCCAATTAACTAGACTAAATAATTAAAGCTAAGTATTAAAAATTATTCACAATTTATTTACAGGAAAAAACTGAAGAAGTCAGCATGAACACTGATGCTCCATCCTAAATAATGAGTGGTAAGAAGGAAGTAAAGATGGCAGCAGTCCGGCAGCTCCCCCTTAAAACCCTCGGTGTGAAGCACAAAGAGAGTGCGGGTGCCCAAGTAGAGCAAACTGACACTCCTAGGGAAAAAATCTCCAGTCCTGGGCACATAGAGTATATGCGCAAAACTGTAGTGCACTACACAGAGGGTCAAGCACTTGAAGAACAAGTATGATCCTGCGTTATAGTGAGAGACTAAATAAATAAAATAAATAGTTTATCCAAGAGAGGATTAACAAAGATCTAATAATAGATAGCTCTTTAATCTAAAGGGCAAAGGCAGAACACGGATTAGAAGCAAAAACTAGACAAATTCAGACTAAAAATAAGGTGTTTTTTTTTTTTTTTTAAAACAGTGTGATTAACCTGAGTGATTAATCACTGGAAGAACATACCTACCTTCAGATTCTCCATTACTTGAAGCTTTTTTACTTAAGACTGGATATCTTTCTAAAAGATAAACTATATAGCTCAAACAGAAATTATAGAATTAGTAGAGAGTTTACTGTGTGAGGTTCTTTGGTGTGTGTTATGCAGGAGGAAAGACTAGCTGATCATAATGATCCCTTTAAGTCTTAAAATCTATAAGTAAGTTCCAATATCATTATATAAATCAAATGGTATGTCAGCACCTAAAATACTTTCTTCAGTTTCAGTTACCCTGCCTCCAAAGGGATACAGCAAAAAGAGGCAGTTCAGAGACAGGTGACAAAATGATTAGCGGTGTGAAAAGACTTCCATTTCAGGTCAGACTGAAAATATTAGGGTTGTTTAGAGAATAGGCAATAAGAGGGAATATAAGAGAGGTATTTAAATGAATGCTATAGGGAAGCTAATAAGGTTCACTTGTTTACCTTCTCTCAATGCAAGAAAGTGCATTTAAAACCTATAAAAACAATTGTTTTTTTAAACACAATGCACAAGTAATCCGTGGAACTCAATATCACACGACTGAGACAAAGTTTAGTATGTTCATAGAAAGTATTAAACATTTCTATGAACTGAAAACCCCACAGATGCAATGGTGCCACAAGTTTGCCTTGGAATGGAGGCTCCCACAGCACTGAGGAAAAGATGGTTTCAGAAAAAGCCTTTCAGAATCTGACCCCCAGACCCTATCAGGGAGTGGTCAGGGTTTAGCAATGAGGATGGTTCAAGTCATTCAAAACCCTTTCTATCAGAGCTCTTGAAAGGCATACAGTAGCCAGAGACTCAAGGGTCCATCTTTAGGGCTCCGTGTTTGTCATGGAGATTGCGGAAGTCACAGATTCCAGGGCCAGCTGCTTGGGTAGCCCTGGGGTCAGCCACGCCGGTTGCTACTGTAGTGGCTCCTGCAGCCAGCCGCACCAGTCACTGATGGAGTGGCCCTGGGGCCAGCCGCACCAGCTGCTGTTCTGGTGGCCCTGGGCACCGCCCGAGCAGCGGCCGATGTGGCTGGCCCCGGGGACTGCCTGAGCAGCTGGTGCCAGGGGCCCCCCTAGGGCTCCTCCCCCTGGCGGCTGGTGCCTTAGCAGTATCCGAAGGGTTGGCTGTGGCGCCCCCTTGAGTGCCACACTCATGTGTCAGTATATTAGGCGCCACCAACCCTACACCCTTCTCAGTTCAGGTAAGTAACGTAACTTTTTTCTTCTTTGAGTGCTTACTCATGTTGATTCCATTCTAAGTGACTCACAAGCAGTAGCCCTGGAGGTGGGCTTGGAGTTCACGGTCGTGCGACTTGCAACACTGCCTTACCGAAGCCAGCATCATCTTGGGCCTGCAGGGTAAGTGCATAATGAGACATAAATGTGTGGATGGATGATGAGGCAGCGGACCTGCAAATATCTTGAATAGGCACTTGGGTCAGGAATGCCACCGCCAAGGCTTGCGCCCTAGTCGAGTGGGTGGTTACAATTATTGGTGGAGGCACTTTTGCCAGATCATAGCAGAAATGGATGCAGGAAGCGATCCAGGATGAAATTCTCTAGGCAGACACTGGAAGACCTTTCATCCTGTCCGCCACCGCGACAAACAACTGCGTCTGCTTACAGAACAGCTTGGTCCTTTTGATATAAAAGGCCAGGGCTCTCCTGATGTCCAGAGAGTGCAATTTGCGCTCTTCTTCCAACTTATGAGGTTTTGGAAAGAAGAAAGGAGAGAACCACTAACTACTTCCTAGGCAAGGGGAAAAAGTTGCTCCAACCAACCGTCATGGGCAGTAAGAAGGAACTGAGAGGGTGTAGGCCTGGCGGCACCTAATATACTGACCCATGAGTGCGGCACTCCAGGGGACACCACTGCCGACCCTACTGATACCAATAAGGCAAAAATCTCTGATGACTGCGCATGTGGGCACGCATATACCTAGAATGGAATCGACATGAGCAAGCACTCAAAGAACAAGGTTTGTAATTTTATGTTAACTGCAGAGCAAGCACTTTTGTAGCCTGATAAATTTCCAGAGTGTTACTCTACATGACAGCAGTGCTTTGCCTCTAACCTCACCAGCATTTCCTGACCCATTTGTTATACTCATAGGAGACAGTAAAAGATGGAGAAGAGAAAGACCTACCTTTCCTCTGTATCTGATGAATGTACACAATAGACTGATGCGCTCTTAGGAACCTTCAGAGAAGGCATTTCTTTAGATGAAGAGGATTCTGACTTTGGTGTCACGATTCTCTCTTTCTTAACAGAGTGTTGTGCACTGTCACAAGGAGGCTTGAAGTTTCCCAGTTCTGCAAATACAAACCAAAAGATTAAACAACCAATTTAACCAAATATCATGAAGTTCCAGCAACGAATACAGAATATAGAGACTGGCAACAGGACCACAAACCACTACACAGTAAACTGTGCATTCTTCACTCAATATGCCCACCTTCAGAGGTGTCTGGGGTATATTCACAAGATTCAAAACACCAAAGTAGTTTATTAGTTGACAAACATGATATAACTGTCTCAATAACTAGAGCTCCTCTACTACTGCCAAAAATATTACTTGGTATATTTATATTCTTTAGAAAAATTACTTCAGTATCAGAAAAATCTTCTTTGATCTGCAGAACATTAACATAGTTCAAATCAGATGCAAAAAGCAGTTTGTAATCTTCTCACTCTCTCTCTCTCTCTCTCTCACACACACACCCACACACCCACACACACCCACACCCACACACACACCCATTAAAATGGAGTTAGAACAAAAGCAGGCATCAGAAACTTAAAAATAATAGACAACAGACGCAATTATCCCAAAACCAAGGTGTTATAGACCCAGGATATTCTGATTAATAGTTGCACTTAATAGTAAACCAAACATGTTATGGAAGTGCACAGGTAATGCACTCAAACAATCTGAATTCTGACCTCTAGAGAAGCCATAGAATAACAATGTGATTATGTTTAAGACATTTTAGAGCTTGTGGTGCCAGATTAGTTGAAAAATCGTTGCTTACCTTACAGCAGGTATTATGTATTCCACCCTTAGTGTGCATATGCCCATGTGCTTGACTTCAGATTCTTTTGGCCAGCAGTAGCCATTGGGTCTGTCCCTGTGCCCTGAGTGTCTTCATGTCTCCTCCACCCACAGGCATAAAGGGCAGAGTGGGGTCAGTTGTGTCAGTTGCTTTGCCCAATACAGGATTTAGAAGGTATAGGACTTTGCAAAAGCATGAAAAAAGGGCAGGTTGTGGAATAGACATGGACAACAGTTACTGTAAGGAAAGTAACTTTTTCCTTCTGAGTGCTTGTCCACATATATTCCATTCTTGCAAGCAGTGACTGATATAAAGGTGGTGGTCGTTCAGATCTACTTAAATAAGGATTGCAACACAGCTCTACCAAAATGGGCATCAGATCTAGATGCCTCTTAAAAAGAATAATGTTTAGTAACTGGATGTGCTGATCCCCAAGATGCTGCTTTACAAATTTCAGAGACCCGAAGAAGAGCTCTGTGTAAGGAAAGAAAAAGGTCCTGAATTTTTTTCTGATCACCCTTAGAATCAGAGGGATTAGAGGATATGCATACATCACCCCTGGAGTCCACAGTATGAGGACTGCATCTGCTCAAGATACGGGGGTTCCAATCCGCTCTCAAAGAAAGATTTGACACTGTTCTTTTCCATGGCAAACAAGTTTATGTTTGGATGACCCCAGTCACAAAATACTCTTTGAATGATGGAGTCTTGATCACTGTCAGAAAACTGTCCGAGGATCCAACAATATATATTGTAATCCTAGCAGATGAAGAGTTATGACTGTTACTTGCTGAAGTTTCACAGGTGAATCACCTCCTGGCATAAAGGAGAAATCTGGCTAATCCCTGTCTGTTTATGTAAACAGCACTGTGGTAATACCTGCCATTACCGAAACTGTCTTCCTTTCAATCAACGCAAGACATGTCACACATGCTAGGTAGACTGCTCTGAGTTCTAATATGTTGATGTACAGGTGACTATCTCACAGGCCCACAGTTCTTAGCCCTTGTGATGGTTCAAATGAGTTCCCTATCCCAGATTGAAAGCATCTGTTACAAATATGTTTGTGGATAGAGCTGGAGAAAAGAAACGGTTACTCACCTTCTTGTAATGGTTGTTCTTCGAGATGTGTTGTTCATGTCCATTCCAAGCAGGTGTGTGCGCGCTGCATGCATGCCAGCCGGAAGATTTTACTATAGCAGCGTCCATAGGGTCGGCTCCGGTGCCCCCTGGAGTGGCGCCCTCATGGCACTGTATATAGGGGCCAGCTGACCCCCACCCCCCACCCCCTCAGTTCCTTCTTGCCGATACTCCGACAGAGGGGTAGGAGGGTGGGTATTGGAATGGACATGAACACATCTCGAAGAACAACCGTTACAAGAAGGTGAGTAACCGTTTCTTCTTCTTCGAGTGATTGTTCATGTCCATTCCAAGCAGGTGATTCACAAGCCCGAGTCTAGGTGGTGGGATCGGAGGTCACTGCAGACTGGAGGACTGCACGGCCAAATGCAGCATCCTCCCTGGCTTGGTGTGTGATGGCGTAGTGCGCCGTAAAGGTGTGGATTGAGGACCAGGTGGCCGCTCTACAAATTTCCTGCGTCGGGACGTGGGCCAGGAACGCGGCTGAAGAGGCCTGCGCGATAGGCGGGGCTGGTATATTGGCCCGACTGTAGCACTCCTGGATGCAGGTTCTGATCCAAGCTGAGATCTGCTGTGACGTGACCGGGAGCCCTTTCCTACTGTCGGCCACGGCGACGAAAAGTTGGGTCGACTTCCTGAAGGATCTCATCCTTTCTATATAGAACGCGAGAGCCCTGCGAACGTCCAGAGAATGCAGCCTGCGCTCCTTAGACGAGGAGTGCAGTTTCGGATAAAACACAGGGAGAAAAATGTCTTGACCCATGTGAAATGGGGAAGCCACCTTAGGCAGGAACGCTGGGTGCGGCCTGAGTTGGACCTTGTCCTTGTGGAAGACGGTGTATGGAGGCTTTTGTTGGACCTCGTGAGGGAGGCCGGAAACTTGAAGCCAGACCCTGCGCCTCATGACCACACCAGTCGCCAACGTGCGTGAGGCTGAATCAGCCGCGTCCAAGGCCGCCTGGAGGGAAGCACGGGTAATCAATCTTCCCTCATCAACCAGGGCCGAAAACTCCGTTTGTGAGTCCTGTGGGAGGAGGTCCGTGAACCTAGACAAAGCCGAGCACGTATTGTGTCCATACCAGCTCACCATAGCTTGGTAATTGGCAATGCACAACTGCAGGCCCCCCATTGAATATACCTTGCGCCCGAATAGGTCCAACTTCTTAGCCTCTCTATTTTTAGGAGCAGCCCCCTGGAAACCCTGGCGTTCCCTCTGGTTGGCCGCATCTACCACTAGGGAGTCCGGTGGGGGGGGGGGTGTATAAAGATGTTCATACCCCTCGGTAGGAACAAAATATCGCCTCTCAGTCCTTTTGGCCGTAGGAGCCAATGAGGCTGGAGTTTGCCATAAGGTACGGGTTGTGTCCGTAATGGTCTTAATGAGAGGTAGGGCTACCCTAGACGGACCTGATGGGGCCAGGATGTCAATCACTGGATCTGTGTCCACCTTGATCTGCTCAGTCTGTATCGAGAGGCTCTGGGCCGCTCGAGTAAGGAGCTGTTGGAGGATCCTATTGTCCTCTAGGGCCAGTGCCGCTGAAGTTCCCGCTACTGCCTCATCTGGAGATTAAGAGGAAGATGTCCCATGCAGCGGCCCTTCATCTACCACGTCTCCCTCTGTGAGGGCCTGCGGCACACAGTACTCAGGCTGCGCGGCCGGTGCGGGCTCAAGATGCGGCACCGTGGCCGGTACCGGGGTCACCACCGAACGATGAGGAGTGCTGTACGGTGCCTGCGCTGTTGGGAGCAAAGTCCCCGTCGGTGCCATTGTTTGACCAGGGGGTGCCGTGTCCCCTTGTGGCACATTCCTGTCAGACGGCGGTGCCGGTGGTGGTGGCATTAGCGGTGGTGCCGCAGACGTTGAGGAAACAGAAGTGGTTCATGAGCGGGGCCCGTACGCCTGACCCACTGACTGATGGTAGGCTCATGGCATCCAGAATGGCCATTGTGGGGGCGGTTGCCACTGCTGCTGTTGGTGCCACTGTGGTGGGTACGGTTGGGCATTCGTACGCGAGGACGATGTACCGCTCTAACAGATCGAGGAGCAGGCTGAGTCTGCCTCTGAGTCAGAAGTCTCTGAATATGAGGACATCGGAGGCACGCTATCCAATGTTGCCGGAGGGGGTGCTCGCACCGGGGCCTCTGACGCGGTGCTGCGTGGAGAGTGCATCGCCGGTTTGCCCCTAGTGTGGTAATGGGGCCGAGCGGTAGCTGGAGGTTCTCTGCACCGGTGCAGCAATGCCGGCATCAGGAGGCTCAAGAGGTCTGATGCGGCCTCGAACGCCTCCGGCATCGATGGGAGGCACACATCGTCCATCATGTCCAGGGATCTATGCCGTTCTGGACTCGACCTTGCCCTCTCTGGGGCGGGAGTCAATGGGATGGCCGGATGGGTCTGCGGCGCGAGTTGTCCTGTAACACTCGTGGACGGCGCCGGACCTTTAGAGTCCCGGTGGGGAGATTGTTCCCTCAGCGGCCTGTTCTTTTTAACCGGCACTGGTGATGGAGAGCGGCGTCTTGTAGAAGATGGTTTCTTATGCGCCGACTCTCTCCGGTGCCGGGGTTTCGGGGCCTTGGCTTCAGGACTTATCTCCAGTGCCAGGGCACTGCGCACCGAGGATGAAGTGCTGGGTGCCGGCTCGGAAGGCCCGGGATCCGATTGCGGCCGCAGTGCCGCCTCCATTAGGAGGACTTTAAGTCTCTGCTCTCTATCTTAGAGTCCTGGGGCGAAAAGCCCTGCAGACAATGCACCTATCCCTTTGATGGGTCTCTCCGAGGCACCGTAAGCACGAAAAGTGCGGGTCCCTCTTCGGCATAAATTTCCCGCAGTCCCGACAGAGTTTGAACCCTGGGGACCCGGGCATGCCCCAGCGGGGCGATGAAAAAGTTGGGGAAAACCCCCCAACTAATATCTAGCTAGCTAACACTAACAACCAACTAATTAATTAACTATTTACAAGAACTACAGAACACTGCCACGATTGCTGAAGAGCAAGCGAAGTTCCAGCTAGCCGTCACCGGTGGTAAGAAGGAACTGAGGGGGTGGGGGGTCAGCTGGCCCCTATATACAGCGCCATGAGGGCGCCATTCCAGGGGACGCCAGAGCCAACCCTACGGAC